ATCTTATCAACACGCTCCTGTCTACCCTTCTGCCATCGTCCAAGAGTATCACTTAGACCCTCGCTGTTCTTCTCTTTCAACTGACCAAGTACCCCGGCGAAGGTGTATATATCCTCAAAAGCCTGGTTCACACCTTGGCCGGCGGTGGGGGGAATAGCGTGTGCTGCGTCGCCGAGAATAGCGACACGGCCGTGCTCAGCGCTGGAAGCCCAGGTCTCAAGCTTGGGGAGGAGATAAAACGGCCAGAGGTTGACTCTATCAGGAGAGATCACTGAGGTTGAGTTTGCGACGATGGCGGGGAAGTCTTCCTTGCCTTCGCGGAGAAAATCAACGCACCATGTCTTATCAGAGTTCATAGCCTTCCAAGCATCACGGCCTGGATCTTCACCAACAAAAATCTTTTGCTTTCCGATGAGAACCTCAGAGCCATCAGCTAACTGCGGCGCAATGACGAAAGCACCGCGCTTGTCGTGCATGAAAGTAGCTGGTAGCTTGTACTCATTGCTCTCCAACTTGAGCTGCTTCGCGGGAACAGCAGCTGTGACGCCGATCATGTTTGTGAACTTTGGTTCCAAGTCTGGGTGAAGATACTCCCTGACACGAGAGTGAATTCCATCAGCTCCAACGAGAAGACCAGCAGTCTCTTCACTCCCATCCGTAAAGCGCCACGTGACGCTATCCTCCGTCTCACTCACAATACTCTCAAACTTTCTCCCATACTCAACCTTGATACCCGCTTCCTTAACAAGATCAAGAAGAACATTAATGAGCTCAAAGCGATAAACACGAATACCAGAGTATCCGTATTTCTCCTGATTGCCAAACTCAAAGACGTCAACGAGTTTATCGTCTTGGGAGTAAAAGTACAAGTCCTGGAATTTGTAGGACTTGGGGAGCATGCGTTCAAAGACGCCGAGCTTATCTAGGGCACGCAGGGAGTTGGGGGATAGCATGATTGCGCCGCCGATGTCGAGGGGGGCGCTTTGCTGTTCGTAGGTGGTGGATTGGATACCTTGCTGGTGCAGTGCGAGGGCTAGGGCGAGACCTGAGAGGCCTGCTCCGATGATGGCGACTTGTGGGGATGACATGTTGATATTGGATAAGGGAAGGGGTTGGATTTGGAGTTGAAGATATATAAAGTGTAGTTCTTTAATGTTCTAAAAGTGGGTACAAGTGAGATGTGAATGTTGGTATGAATGATGAGTTTCTGATGCATCACCACCTCGTCCATGACCTCCTATATATACACAACCACTCAGCCACCCTTCCTCCCAATCCTCCCACCATTTTCTGAACATGTCGCCATCATCCTACGGTGATTTCCTGCCGGCGTCGGTCTTTTGCCAAAAATCTCTTCATTTCTCACACAATCGTGCCGCCCTCATCCGTCTCAACCAATCATCTTGACCAAAACCCCTCTTCTATCGGCCGAGTCATTCCATCCGGCCGATATCTTTTCCTTCTCGGCCGCCAACAGTCAGCACTCCCTCTGTCTTAGGCTAGTACACTCTCTAAATCATCTTCTATAGGCTAGGTCGCTTGTTTTTGCGCCCGTTGTAATGCTCGGACTCGTTAGTGCTGATTTCTAAGCTGCGGCGCGGTTTTCGCACAGCCGGTTTACTTGCCCGGCCGAGACGTCGGGGCCGATGGACTCGGCCGGAAGCGATGGAAGGGTTTTGCTATAAAGACTCAGGATGTGACAGCGGTAGGTTTTGTTGCATCAATCACTCGCATACGCCCTCAATACCTCCAACACCTTTTCCAAACCTTCTAAGTACTTTCAAGTTAAACACTCAGCCTTGTACTCTGAGGCCCTTCTCACCCTCATCTCACTTGGCATCTGTGATCTACCCCACTCAATACCAACTACCTCTCCTCCACCAAAACCCCTCCAAAATGCACTTCCTATTCATTGGCGGAACAGGCCGCAATGGCTCTTTAGCCGTCCAAGAGGCTCTATCGCGAGGCCATACAGTCACTGCCCTTGTCCGCAACACAAACTCCGCCAAACTCGCCTCTCACCCCAACATCACCCTCGTCCAGGGAACACCAACTTCAGAGTCCGACATCCTCAAGGCTCTTACAACACCTCAGGCTCCGCAAGTAGTCATCTCAGCTCTTGCACAGATCAGAGTCACAGAGTCCCCCTTCGCAGCTCTTCACCCTGATACTACACCTGATTTCATGGCTGTAAGCATGCGCGCTCTTCTCGCGGCTATTTCTCAAGCAAAGATCTCCCCTAAAATCGTGGTAAACTCAGCTCAAGGCGCTGGGTCGTCGTGGCGCTCTATGAATCTCCCTGGCAAGATGATCTTTAGCCACGGAAGTATGGGGATTGGCCTCAAGGATCATAACGAGGTTGACCTTCTGGTCAGAGAGAGTGGACTGACTTTTGTTCTTTCTCGCCCTGTTATGCTTGGAGAGGGCGAAGCCCAGCCTGTCAAAGTTTGGCCCGATGATGGAAAGGGCTGTGCTTGGATGCCCAAGATTACCAGGGGGAGTGTTGGGAAGTGGCTTGTTGATGCAGCTGAAAGCAGCGAGTGGGACGGACAATCTCCTGTCCTTAGCAACTAGGATGTTCCGAGGTACATTGGTTAGTTAGACGCTATTTTTAGAGTTAGAATTCATATTCCGTTTTATATACAGGTCTTGCTTTAAACCTTAGACACTTTTATTTGAGCCCTGAAGCTCCCATCACTTAGCGCAAAACACCGTAAAAGCATTCCCCAGGGAGCAAGGCAATATCAGACCTTGATACAGGATCTCAAGATAAGCCCAGCAAAAGGTATTCTGAACTCAGCGAAAGGTATCTCAAACTCAGGTTCACTTACCTAAGTATCTTTATAATTTAGAATCAAGTTCCTAATCTTCTTTCGTCCCCTAGGCATTTAGTAGATAATCACTATTCCTTTGCCCTGACAAGCTGGCTTTTATAATAGCGACTTGGTCTGGCAAAGCCAGCTGGTGTCTTTTCCACCAGACAAACCTCTTCATAGCCCTCACGTTCTTCCGCATCTATAAGTCTCATTCCCGCAAGTTCCTCGTTCTTTAGCAGCATAGGCCCTTCCCCTATCTTCGTCTTCACCCACTGTTCCCAGGTCTTGATCGTGAGCTTCTCGTCAGGCACCCATTCTGCACTACTGCCCCAAGTTGCAGGCAGCCTCGCGTATGTGTTTAGTAACCTCCATGGCCGCCCGGAAGCCAATGGGTATATCCACTTCTTGAGTCATGTACGCCGCCCCGTCATTCAAACGCATATAAACGAGCGATAACTTCCAAAACCGACCTTGCGATGCCCCCTCAACTTCGTATTTAGTAGTGGGAAAAGCCCAAGTCGTAGTCCGACCTCTTTTTATATGACAACGCAGTAATGTGGTGTAAATATTTCGCCTGTAGCAGCCCATCGGCGCCACTGATCCCAAGACAGTGATGTCTGCCCCAGCGGTATCTGGCAGCTCAACTACCCGCTGCAGCGCTGGGATGATCGACTTCCAGACAGACGTCTCATCCTGGTGTCTCTCTGGACACGGTGTTTTGTGCTGCGTGCCCACGCAATCAACGTGCAGACGCTGCATATTCGGCAGCGCGATGGGATGAAAGCATCCATCTGAGTCCCAAGTGCCAAACAATGCATCGCACAAACAACTCATATCGATATGCACGTGCTGCATTCGTGGCAGCAGGGGCCGCAGATCCTCGCAAAGATGAGGTTTAGGTCCGTTGAGGTCGTAATTGATGTTATCCGATGTACCTAACGCAAGCTCCAGGCTTGTGCAACTTGACAGGATTCTCCTCAAAAGGGATGAAATGATCGGCATCTGGATGAAACAGAACGGGTCTCGGTGATGGCGCGCTAGAGAAAAGGACCTGAGACTGCTCATGTGCCGAATCGCCAGTTGAAGGAATAAATCGTGAGTGTCGGTATGAAAACCTCCTGGTGTTTCAGGTGGGCGATTTATGTAGAGAGTCAAAGACCGTGTTAAAGAAATGGCCCATTGGTCATGGCATGCTATGAAGAGATCTATTCGAGGGCCGACAAAGAACACGAGGTCTTTGTAGAGTAAGCGAATAGCAACATTGTGCCATTCCCTGTTGACGAGAAGACAAGAATGAACGGTAGATCTCTGGTCGCAAGGGCTAATATTCTCAAACACCTTGGTGAGAAGTTCGAGAGGGAGTGTATTGGCCATTGGATAGAGGAAATCGTCAATAGAATTGTAGTATTGAAGAGAAGCAGAAGAATAGAATAAGTAATTGGAGGCATTTATCGTGCAGCATCCATTGGTCACTATCCTATTAGCAGGGGCGGATAATGCCCCAGTCAACGAACGTGGCTGAGTCAGGCCGACGGCCGAGCTTTTATTCACTGTCCAACACTGAGTAAAATGGCCAAATTACGTATATGATCTCATTATAGTAGTTTTTAAAACAGGAGCAGTTTATAAGTAACTTATATAGTTTTCAGGAGAATCAGCGAGAAGATAAACTGTCCTTAAGAAGTAATAAGATTCAAGAGCTTAGAAGAAGATACTAAAACAAACTTACTAAAGTCCCTAATAAGGATTATTATAATATAGCTAGCTATATTACTAGCTTTAATAGTATAATATATACTATCCCTTTAAGAATTAACTAAAATAGAAAAATATTACTAAATTATTAACTCAAATACTAAAGTTTTTAAAAAAAAAACCAAAGTAAAGCTATAATAAAATTAAGCTATTTAATATAAAATAGCTATATTTAATTAATTTAAAGATATTAATAGATATCTTTATTAATAATAATTAAAGGAAAGTAATCTTAGTAAGAGTTTAAATATTAGATAATAGTATTAAGTTTAGGGAAGTAGTAAGAATATTAAGATATTTTCTTCAGTCCTTGCTTGACTAAAGGAAGTCTATAGTAAATATAAATACAAAATTAAGGTCCTTGGCTTGCTTTCGCAATTTGAGCCAAACAGCTATACTAAAAACAGTTCCCATGCCGGATTTGTTGCCTTACTGTCGACCCTCGTCTTCTGAAACAGTGATAGGGCCAGCGGCTTCGACGACGTTTGCATATTGAGGCCACCATTTCATCGTCACCCATATGCCAACGCACTCATCACTAAACTCCGAACTCTCGCCCAAGCTTTCCCGTGAAACTGTCCTGCTACTTTCAAGATGGTTGAAATCGAAGACTTGGTAATCTGCTGGGTCCTTCTGACGTGGTTGGTCGGACAGACCTGAAGGTGACAGGGAGTTTACTCTGCCGGTGCTTGTATAGAACTAACGGTTGGTAAGAATCCTTAAATATCATGCTGAATAAACGTGACCTGCTTACCACTACTTCACTTTTCTCTTTCCAAAGTTGTACATCCATGCAGGTTATCCATTCACCGCAGTCAACACTGAAAGAAGCTTTGACACCATATGCGGATCCTGCAGTCCTGGATATCTGGCCGGCACCGTAGTCGAAGATGAAGCCAGAGAGCTTTCCAGAGCTGGGGCAAAAGACAGCATGAATTCGCGAGACTGTGCATAAGTTGCCTTGTTCGTCCTCGACCTGCCAAGTCAGTTTGTCTGGAGCGCGACTGTTTGGCCACATGTGCATCATGCTGTTCAAAGTCAGAGAAGTCTCAGGGAAGTGCTCTGACGGTTCTGTGAGAACAGAAGTGTAATCGCACTCGCGATTGAAAATCCAGGCTAGGCCCATCTTTTAGAATGTTAGCATCGATTCCGACGTTTTTCTTGACCGTGGTGTCCTTACCAGTCGCTCGTAGGGATTCTCTGTAAACGAGTACGGGAGCATCTCTTGTTTGTCGCCAAGGACAATCTCCATGTCCCTCTGTCCAAGCCCTGTTTTATTGATCTTGATTCCAGTGATTCTCCCTGCATTCTCTCTGGAAGTGTTACCAGGCAAAGATCCTTGCTCTTGCCAGAAGGTGAATTGGCATATCCTTTCGCCTTTATTCAGAGAAAGGTAGCCAATTTCACAATACCACTGGCCAACGTAAACAGGATGTGATGAGCCCCAGAACTCGAAGCAGAGTCCGGCAACGTGATCAGACTCCCGTGTTCGACCTGGTAGACCTTTTGACACACCTATGCGCCGTACTCCGAATAGCATGACTGAGGTAAAGCAGCCCTCAGAGCGCCGAAGAGAACTAGGTGCCTTTTCCACAGTACCTTCATCCATTTGGAAACTATGCAGATTACTGTGTTCCGCGCTGGTAGTTGTGAGGGGTACCTTCGAGGGATTAGCAGCCAAATGAGTCTTATACTGCACACCTAGTGACTGTAGGACCCCTGAACGCAGCTATAATGGTTGTTGACTGATCAGTCATGTGAATAGAAAAAGGCTCAAACCAAAAGTGCTGCCTACCTGAACTCTGGCAAGTATTGCGGAAATGGGCATCCCGACAGGCGGGATAATTGTTTGCAATGAATGCGCGACTTCGTCGACTGAGGATAAACACGTCCTTCGGAATTCCAAAGTCCGGTCATAGCTGGTCATTAGCTATGATATGCGACAGTTAGATTAGTTTTCATTCCTTAGTTAGCTGGTAAAAGTTGTTAAAAACTATACCTTGATGACACTGATGTTCTCAGTCTCTGAGGACGAGTCCGGCGCGACTTCCAGTGAAACAATTCTCTCGCCCCCTGGTCCATCTATAGAAAACGATTGCTCAATACAAGCAGACCGATCGCCTGCAGTACTTATGACCATCCTCGTACCGTAACTCTTGGTACGACCATCTATATAGGAAAAGGTAAACCCTCTGAAGGATCCGTGCTGGTCATCGTGTAAAGCAGTGATTCGACTGAGACGCGAAATAAAGGCTCCCCCGGGGCCCCCAAAGTCCATATTTAAAAAGTATGGCGGGGCGACTGTCTGCTGATCTTTGGGTGTAGAGGGATGAATGACTCCAGACACGGAGGCGTCTGGCTCGTTGGGATGCCAGAGCCCAGACAGCGAACCTGGCACTTTCGTTGCAGCAACTTGCATGTCTGTGCCTTGGATGCCTTCTTCAAGGACCTGAAGTGATACAATTTTGCATGCCTGAATGTCTCATTAACCTGATACTAGGTTGGAGAAGAGTCTCAAACTTACATCGAATCCGATTACTGCTCCACACAACTGGGAATCAATTTTTGGCTCCAAAATCGCGACACCAACACCGTCAGGAGGATCAGTAACAGTGCCTACACTTTTCCAAGCAATAGCACCAGTCCCGTTGTCGATGCGAAAACTAAGACCAACTATACCGCTTGCAGAGGCAGCGACCCGCAGCCCGGTCATGCGATGGTTGGGGCCGAGAGGTACATGAATTTCTGTCTGAGGTATGATGTAACCAACACTAGAAACCTCTTTAAAACTGTTGGTTTCGCTAGGCTCGAAGAGCCTGATACCAGAAATGTAATAATCCCCATCAAACAAGATGCGTGACAGGGATATCCTTGAGCCGATGTCCGCGTTTTGTGGTCGCAAGATGATGTATTGAAATCCAAAAGATCGTGCACCCATCTCACTGGGAAGATCATTATGAGCATCTTCTATTATCGGGGTCCGCACAAATTGCCCAAGCTCGTATCGTTGTGAAATCACATCCTGCTCCACGCTTTGGCGGTCTTGAAGACACAAATCCTGGTCAAGAAGTGGCATCAACGACCTTGCCACAACATCGAGGCATAGCCAAATTCGGCGGCGGTTGCGCATGTGGCCAGTTTCCGATTCGTCGCGTAGATTACACTTCAAGTCAAAGTAAAGCCTTCGCCAATTGAGCTTGGAGTTTGACTGTAGGTAAAGCTCGTGATCGAACGGAAAGAAGCCCATCTCTCTGTCAGCTGAAAAGCGGCTTTTCCAGAAACACTGCGGAAGGTGGTCGGGGCTAGTCATCCTCGATACAAACTTTGATGAAAGTCGCAAGTTGCAAAGGTCTGTTGAATCCACCATGGTGATTACCAAATGCACAATTTCAGGCGACAGCCTTGCGAATATATCCTCAGAAACCTGAAAGTCAGATGTGGTATGAAGCAGTTCGGAAACATCTTTGGTTGTCTGGGTTACAGACCCAAGAGCGAGCGTGGTAGGATCGGCCAGGATAAAGTTCCGGGACTCAGGCAGACTCAACGGTGACTTCCAGAATTTGAGGGCACCACCAAAGTCATGGCTCGGACAGGGAACTTTGAAGCGGTCATATGGTAGACAGTTGAGCAGGCGGAATAAAAGTTCTGCGATACGTTGCGGCTCAGCCTGGCTATATTTGGACAAGGAAACCTTTTGTTGTAACAGCTGCCAGCAGGCTTCGTGAAAGGCAAATGTCCATATCCTAGTCGTTGGTGAATAGTTCAAGTAGTGCCATGCCAATTGATGTTCCGGACTCATATAAGATGTATCATGGTCGCTGCTAGCCAAAAGAGCACTTCCATCGGAATAGCCGACACCGGTGAGGGTGACTGTTGACAATCCTCCGTGAGACGTGACTGTGATAGAATAAGCATCTGGAACGACCGGAGCAAGACCTTGCACTAACCTGCGCGGATTTCTTGCTTCCAATCGAGTCGCTTAGGAGGGTTACCTGGTAGCGAGGATGGGCATGGCACAAGGATGACTCCACAGAGAACACAGAACTCGTGCATGATTAGCTCAAAATGGTATTATCCACCACCTCGTTCTGGAGACCTTCTAGGTTCCAGTTTCTGTCGGTACCGGTCGCAATATGAGATGAAGGCAAAAGGATAAGAACAAATTGCTGGAAGTTGTTGGTAGGTAGGTAGTCAGTGAATGTGAAGTTGACTGGCTGCCTGGCAGAAAGTTGTGGGCCAGGGGTAGTAATGCCTTAGGCATAAGCGCACTATGGTCGGGCCGAGCGAGCAGCGCTTATGAACCCCACTCAGTCCTAATTTAATCCACTAATCTACTCCGTACGGCCCTGAACGAACCGCCATTGTACCTAAAGTTGGCAACAAGCTGGCGTGTCGCCGGCCAATATGGTCTCATAGGCGCGCGGCTGTTTTCTTCAGTGGAAGGTAATTTGAAGTTCGTTTCTGCGGCCAATAATGACAATGGAACCTTTGGCTCGATGGCGGCTAAAGGGTTTCAGGTCATCTCTGTAGATGGCCGGGACATGCTTACCTTTGAGCCAGGTATAAGAGTCAATGATTCCCGCCTTGAAATTGGATATCCAGGCAAAAAATCAGTAAACTACATATATTCTCTCTTGCAAGCATCTTTTCTGATTCCACTCAATTTCTTGGTATATTCTTCAACATCTATCCAACCACTCAAACAGCATGGCGGACGGGCAAGTTTTCAATTTCTACAACGTTGGCTTTGCTAGCGCCATTCTGATGGCGCAGAAGTCCACCTATGAGGAGCCCATCCAGATGCTCTGGAACACAATTCTCCAGTCTTGGTTCCCTGCTGTCGGAGCCCAAACAGCCTACAAGGTCGCCCCCAAAGCCGCAATCTTGGCAAACAATGATCAACCCGATGCAGTCGTTATTGAGGTTCGGCTGGTCGGAGCTGGCCTCGTCCGGGACTCTAGAATGCTCATGGAGTACCAGATTCTGATGGTTGAATGTAAGAGTTCAGAGCACGATAGCGACAGCGGATGGGCCTCGGCTGCAACCCAGCTCACCCATTATATGGAGCAAAACACCAATGGGTCTAGGAAGCTTTTCGGAGCTGTGGCTGTTGGAACCAAGGTGCAATTTTATGAATGGGAATACCGACGCAATCGCTCATCTCTGCGTCCCATTCACCCTGCACGACTGGACCTCGGTGATGCTGGGGATCGCCATACACTCGAGACCATGTTGGACCATGTTAGGACTCAGGGCTGGAATCTGGCACAACAGAGTACTTGAGCGTTTCTTTTCTTATATCATCAAGGAGGAAATCTTATTATCATTTGATATTGTATATATCCTTCTCTCAGCTGCAAATAGCTGCCTCGGGAATATCTAGACATAGCAGCCGTAACTGTATAATTTATGGCATAGACATAACATAGTTGGGATTATTTGTCGGAGGAAACAAACATAAAAAAGTGAAAGCTCTAAGTATCAATAATACTTTATTCTAACCACCCCCTATTGCCACTTGATATTTAGCTTTCTTAAGCCAAGACCTGCTTCGCGTGTCTTCTGATTGTCTAGTGAGCAGTGACCCTAGGCTAAGCCAGGGGTCACGGAGATCTACAGGCCATGATGTACGCGCTGTAAAAGTACCTCTTGGCGCTGGATTGTCAGCCGGACTTGTTGCATATTGTATTATGCTATATACATGATAGCTTGTCATATAATCTTCCTTTCCGCATCGAACAGGGAGGCTCGATTCCTAGCTACTCATGAACCCGACATAGTTGGCATTGAAAATGAGTTCATCGTATATCTTGCCTCATAGTAACATGATCATAACGCATGTCTGACGCTTGTGTAAAAGTGCCATCGAGAGGTCCAGGATAAGATCTCGACCTAGAGACACCGAATCGATGTGGTTTCATAGACGTCACAGCCTCCTAGGAAGTTCAAAGAGTGAGGGGTTTCAATTCATGTCTCTTGACCAACTCCCAACCCGGATCAGGATGAGTAAAGCGGAAGAGCTCAACCTTTGTTGCTTAGCGAATGGGGTCAGCTACGATTATCTTCTAATAGTTTGGGATATGTAGTAACCAGATTCTTTACCTCGTCACTTTTCCTACTCCGAGGTCCCCTTCGGTATCGTCGGAATCGTCAAAGCCATTGGACCCTTACAGGACTCGCCTAACAATCCCTGTATCCACAAGGCAAACGGCTTGATCCCAGCACGATTCTGACAGGGGCAAAGAGATCCACTGTCTACAAGTCGCTATCTCGTAACATCAAATTATGCTTGACGATCCCTTCAAATTTAAAGTGGTTGTTATCCGCCGATATTAAAATTTGGCAGATTAATCCAGTATACATTATCCTTTACATTGCAGGTATTGACATGCCAACTTCGACATTGTCAAAATTTAAGCTTGTCTCTCGCTTAACTTTTAAGATTGCTTGTTCGCTTCTGACAGTTTAAAGCCGCTAGTTCTAAACTATTGAACAGACTATTGATTCTCATTAAAGAAAAGGATTAAGAGCTGAAAAGCACGGGCAATGCTAAGGAGCGTACCACTATGAAGATTGTTCCCGTTCTATTTTTTGTTTTCTTTTCCTTCTTCATCTGCTTTTAGGCTGCTGCTTTGTACTTCTCTCCAGTCGTTACAACGGCGCTCGTGACAAGTCTCTCGTTAAACACCATGCATCTCAAAGGAATCTCGTCGATGGCTTTGAGCTTGTTGGTGGCGCAGTCGGTCATCGCAAGCCCGTGTAAACCGGTAGCCTCCCGTGCCAGTAAGTTCAAGCCATTATTGAGTTGGCTGAGCTAGTGCCAAGCCACTGGGAATAACTTCATTGTCAGCTGAACTGTCTTACTAACTGCGATTAGGCTCATCTATCTTGAGTTTTATGATATCTATCTCTGCACCGTCCTCTACAGGCTCCGAGACACTTGTTCTGGAGACAACGTCGACCGAGAGCGAGACGGCTACTACCGTGGAAACAAGTGTCGCAAGTGCTATTACAACCACTGCATTTACCATCGATACAGCCACTAGCAGCGCAAAGTCATCTACAAAGACTGAAGCTTCTTCGAATGCGATCGGGACAAGTGCCATCGCCACTGAGGCCACGACTGTAGCTGAGGGCAGTACTTCTATGGCTGACGGCACTACAACTATCGTTGTCTCTTCAACTGCTGAAAGCGCTACCACCACCGATACAACGGAGACCGAGGCAATCACTGAGTCTTCAACTGCTATCGACACCGCCGCAACTACGGCAAAGACGACAACTAGGACTGAAACCACTACTAGTGCAGTTGGTGCAACCAGTACCTCGGCTGAAACATCAGCTACAACTACAGATGGTACAACAGTTGCTGTCAAGGAGAGCACAGCACAAACATCTGAGGGTGTTACAATAACAACTGTGACCAAGGATACAGCTACGTCTATCTCTGTGGACAGCACGGCAACAACTGCTGAGGGTTCAACAACCACTGATAGCGTCACATCTTCGGAGGGCAGTACAACAACTCAAGCAACAGACTATACTACATCAATACCCAGTAGCGACACTACGACAAGCGGTGAAAGTGTCACTACTATTACAACTTCGTCCGAGGGTGTTGCTACAACAACATCTGGAGACAATACGAGCCGCAACCAAGACACTACGACTACTATCGCGACTACATCTAAGAGTGGTGCTTCACCTACCACGACTTCATCGGAGCATAGCACTACAATGACTGATGCTAGTACGACAACAGGATCTGGTGAGACTACCCTTCTTATCACTACTTCATCCGAAGACGGCAGTACAACGGCCAAGGATAGTACTTCTGCGATCCCAACATCGGAAGGCAGTACTGTAACATCTGGAGACATCACTACCGCTGTCACGATGTCATCTGGAGGCAGAACTACATCATCCGAGGACAGCACTACCACTGTAGCAACTTCAGCAAAAGCCAGCACTGAAACATCTGGACTGGGTACAACAACTTCTGGTGACAGCACTACCGTCACTGTGACTTCATCAAAGGAGACCAGTGCTACAACTGATGGAACGACTACTACCACTGCTGCTGCGGAGGACAGTACTACAACTTCTGTAGAAAGCACAACAACAGCCGAACAGAGCACAACGGCTAAAGAGAGCACGACAACGGCTGAACAGAGTACTACAACGACAGATGAGACTACTACCACGACTTTTGAGACAACTACCGCAGCGGGCACCACCACCACTGGCTGTCCTCCTCCAACCACCGTCCTCGCAAACCCAACACCTCTATTCACCTCAGGAGATTTCCACATGGATGAATACGACACCGTTCACCTCCCTTTCCCAGTCGGCATATACGGCCACCTCTCAAACACAGTCTATGTTAGTACAATCGGCATGTTAACCCTCGTAGCTCCAGACAACTTCTACGAGGGTAACTACGAGCTTCCCTTTACTACATACTACCCATCAGTGGCTATCTTTCCATACTGGATTGAGTATATGTATATGATGTCCGATGTCTGCAACTCAGGCATCTCGTACGAGGTTCATCAGACGTCTAGGGGGCAGACGTTCACTGCTGAGTACACCATGGGTGCGCTACGCGATGATGGTTCTACAGACACGGTTCACTTCACCGTTAGCTTGTATAAAGATCATCCTGGGTTGGTGAGATTCGTGTACTACCGCACTTATACTGTTGACCACCCGACTGTTGGTGTCCAAGCTGGTGACGACTCTTACTCGCAGTACTCTTTTGGCATGGCGATACCAGAAAACTCCTACGTCGAGATTGATACGAGCAGTGGGGATGCTTTCACGACTAGTGGCCAGCTGTGATGAGAATACGGAGCGTTCAAATACGTAGACAACAGCACTATAGAATAATTAGAATAGAATCTATATATAATATGGTAGATCGCATGAGGTCCCACCATTGTATTTTCAGATCTCAGAGTCCCGAGTTTTCGACCCTACCCAGCCTCAATGCTATACGACGTTTGCGTCTCATTGCCTTCCTGTTTTGTAGCAGAACAAGTTCCCATCAACATGGCATAAAGGTCATCTGATCTAAAGATATCGGCATTGCTCAGTACAGCAGCGGCCGACTACAAGGTATCACAGATATAAGCCCTGTCTCTCAGTCTGCAGGATCATCAGTATTAGCCCGAGGGCCCGTTCTGTCTCGGCTGCCAGCCAATCGCCACTGTGAACCCTGTCAGTCAGCGGGAACTGTTGTGCGTTTCCGAATCGACCCTTTTCCGTATTTGGTATGGCAGGTTGGGTTACGATGCGAATCGTGCGCGTAGATAGAGATGCGTATCAAGCTTGTTTTTAGTTGTATCATTCATTGATGCTTTAAGCTTATGATATTTAAGCTTCATTCAACCTCTAGAGCAGCTTTGTCTATAGATTTCTAGATAATGTTGTGTCCGTTGCCAATCACCCTTCAAGCGTATTCTGACTGAATTGACTGATGGTTTATCACGTAGACTGGCAAGAATGGGAGTATTTGCTTCATATCCCGAGCTTATTTGCCGCTGATGATTAAATCGCTCCCGTACTGTCATCCAGACCTGATAAGTGTCAGATGCAAATACTACCTTCTCAATTGACTCAAACAAAACTCTTGGTCAGCAAAGAACTTCTGTTAGTTTTCGTTTAGTCCCCATTCTCCTCCCACCGAAGGATTCCTTGGCAACATAAATCCCATCAGCCTAGAATCAAACCCGCCACTAAAAAGCCAATCGTGAATAACCTCACGTTCGGCCCCCAACTTAGTCTCGATCAGTCGATACTTATCAAATACGATGGTTGCGAGCAAATGCAGGGTAACACAGTGAATGCAGAGGCGGGTTGACGTTGCTTCACCTTCCACTTTGGGTCTAGATCCTAGGCGAAAGGAGCACGGGGAGCAAAAGTGCCAGACTTATCGATGGACCGACTTCCGAAAATGTGTGAGGGAGCTTATTTTGGATATATCTTGCTAGGATCTTTTGATCGGGCTATCGCGTTGACTGTGGAGGTGGAGATATCGTTGTGTTGATCATGAAGATTCAAGTATAAAAGATCAATACTCTAGCCTTTGAATATCAGTTCCTCTCAACTCAAAACCATCAAACAAACCAATATCTTCTCCTCACAGCTCATCAACCGCCAAAATGAAGTTCCTCCCCCTCGCAGTCGCCCTCTTCGCAACCCTCACCGTCGCCGCCCCCTCCTCACCAAGCGACATCCAAGCCCGCGCCTGCGTCTGCAAGAAAGTCGGCGACGAGTGGATTTGCACGGGCACAAAGTGCTACGACAAAGTAAAGCGCGATCTCGTCCCCCGCCAGTGCTCATGCCACAAGATCGGCGACGAGTGGATCTGCACCGGTCCCAAGTGTCCCCGCGATCTTCCTGAGGAGAACAAGCTTGAGAAGAGACAGTGTTCGTGCCACAAGGTTGGAGATGAGTGGTTGTGCGGTGGTCCCAAGTGTCCGAGAAGTCTGCCGGCTGAGGAGAGTGGGTTGGAGAAGAGGCAGTGTTCTTGTAAGAAGGTTGCTGGGGAGTGGATTTGTAGTGGACGGAAGTGCCCTCGGGATTTGTCGCACCTTATGGGTGAGGAATAAGTTCTTGTTGGGTAATAATTTAGTGTCGAGTAAGTATCGTGTTTCTCGCATACGTTTTGTCTTGAGTCTGACACATTCCTAGACCCATTCATTATTGCCAAGCTGGAAACATCCGGTCGATCATCAGTGAAATCCACATGCGTAGTACTGGGGGCTTGGCAAGGACTAGTTAAGGTTCAATCAGATAGTATCGCATGAATATATGACTTGCAAACTGAAACTTATTCACTTGTCCTTGATATTACTAGCCAGGTGCAAGGCGTATCTAGCTCGTGAGACAATCACCACCACTACCAGCGAAGAACCGAGTAATCATTTGAGTCGTGTATTCTTCATCCCCGTTCCTATGTATGAATGATATCAAGGTCATGCTCTCTCTCTCCCCGTTTAACCTTCCAAGCCGCACTGTGATTTAACCGTACAAGCTCCATAACAAACTCACTAATCTCCTGAATATGCTCAATCTCCTCCATCGGAAGCCTATCAGAAGGAATTTTCCGTGTGATCTTGCTTATCGACGATAAGATATACAAATCGTTATCTGCTGAAGAACCGAGCGGGTGAATCAGGATGTTCATGAAGAGTGGCATCGCAGCCATAGGCGCATAGTGTGATACTATCCATAACGCGTCTTCTTCCCAGAGTTCCACTATCTGGTTCAAAATTCGGAAGATGGAACGACTTGCTTCGATGGAAAGATCAGCGCTGGATTCGACTACGCTGTGGAGATCATCTGGAAGATTCTCCTCGAAGTCGCCGCATTTCCGAACTAGTGTGTGGATGTTGATGATGGTGAAGAGGTAATCGAGCTGTAGATTTATGAAATATGCCCTTTCTTTCATCCGATCTCTCTCGGTCAAAGATGCAGGGAGTCCGAACACCAAATCTGATGAGATGGATAACCGCGGTCGATAGCTTGCACTGATTGATAAGCGCCATTCTTCAAGCTCATCGTCGAGCTGTCGAACATGGGCGAGGAGTTCGCCCTCCGTGTACTTGAAGGCTCGTGGAGAACATAGAATGTTGCTTGCGTTTTCCTTGATTCTCGCGAGGTTTGTATCTCGCGGGAGGCTGTGGTACCATAGTGTTTGATCTTCAGCATCACTCATATCGCAGTGATCTGAATTGAGTAGCGGCGGTTTATCTGTTCGTAGGGACATATCTTTGTCATAGCAGTAGCAGATCCAGAATAATCTCCGGATGTGCAGCCTTGTTTGGTCGTCGAATGTTGGAATGTGTTGGGGGAAGATTGCCGGTCGTGGCAGAGGGAAATGGCCGCCGAGTTCGCACACCATGCGACATGCGCTGGCGAAGCTGACTGCTGCCTCGCGGCATTGCCCTCTGGTCTTTTGACTTGCCCACTGCTTTCGTCAGCCTCGTTGACGATCTTGACGGTTCTATCACTCACCAGAAGAAGCGTTCCCTGCAAACTGTCCAAGCTAGTAATCCCACTCACAACACCCAACAACCTCGACGCCTCACTAACACATTCCCTCGGCTCAAAAGCAAACCCCAACAGCTGAGCATCAGTCGTCCTCACAACAAGAGCAATCATAGCCCAAAGACAAGCCTCAGCAGGCGCCCTCCTCCCCAAATCACCAACCCCCTCATCAAACGCCCTGCTCAACGTCCCCTCAAAGAGGCCTCTCTCCAAAAACGGAAAGATAACAGCTGTTTTGGACTTGAAAAATAACTCAACGACATGCGCGCAGATAGCCCTAGGGGGCAGAACCCTCGGCGTTTCAGAAAATGAAACAGAGCCAAGCGGCGGCGCAGGATTTCCGAAAATGTCGAAATTCTCGAGAAATACGCGCTCCCCTGCTCCGTCTGAGATCCACTGCCAGCCGCGATCTGAGAGAATACCTATTCCCTTGAAATACCAGTTTGTCCCGATGTGGCAGCGACATAATTTGTAAACGGCCTTGGAACGTATTGTTGGCGATACACCAATCGGACTTATCACCGGTTGGCGAGTGATTGGGGATGAAGCGAAACGAAGACTTGTTGGTTCAGACCATGGCGAGGGGCCTCCAATGGACATGTTTGTGCTATTCGTCAAAGCCGTTTGAAGCGCCTCCTCGAGCGTTTCCACGCGACGTGATAGTTCCTGGACGACATCGGAAGTAGTTCTGAAAGCGTCAGTCTGAAGCACCCAATGGAACGGTTCACCCCTTGGCAGTCACAAAAAACAAGCTTACCTTTTGTTTGGGTCCTTCTGGATCACTCTATCAAAGGTGCATGTGAGCCCCTGGCTGTCGCACCAGTCACACGGATCACCCTGCGTTTTGATCAGGCATTGAATCTATAGCAGAGTGTTAATATAATGGTCTGATGTCATCGGGAGGGAAACAAAACATGTTTTTTTTATCTTACCTTTCGCTTATAGCATGTGTCGCAGGCTCGTCGGGGAGGCATTGCGAGGGAGGGATGAAGTGTAATCGGAAAGACGGAAGTGAGATTGACGGAGAGGCGGGTTTCCGTGGGGCAGAAAATGCAAAATGTAATGCAGTGAAATGTAATGTGTTGGTGCTAGAGAGAACCTAGTGTGAGCGGTACAGTTGGCACGTGGATCTGCTGAATGGTGTTAGCGAGACAGGGATCAAGATCGAATCGTTAGTGATTGTCTCTGGCGCATTTACCGCTGAGGCCTGAGAGGGGGACTTTTCCTCCGAGTGTCTCTCAATTGATTGGCAAAAGTGGTTGAAAAGGACAGAAGCGTCCAGACAAGTCGACGTTTCATCCCAATCCCAAAATCTCGATCTGTCAAAACAGGCCTCCCAAGGTACAGGGTAGCATAAAGCGCTGCAACCTAAGCGCAAACCTTGGTCCTGGGTACGATCGGATCAGCGCTTGAATTGCTTCACGTAATGACAACGACAAGCGAGATTCTGTAATATTGCGGGGGGGGTTTGATAGTTACAACACATACCCGTCACTAAATAAGCTTGATTGGGTGGTATCATCAAGGGAGGCGGTGCAGATGCAGCAGAAACAAGATCAAGCTGTGGTCAGAGCTCGAGCTTTTCATTTCCGTCTCCGATTACATAACTCACTACCCTCAAAATCCCTTATGTCTTATTGGCTAGTGAAAAGAGCTCCCCTGCTGACCGGCGCAGATCTTAGCTCCATTGAGATATCGGACTTCCGATGTCCGATGATATAAGACAATGTTTCGTTTATCAGATCTTTTAGAGTTGATTCATTGGTGGGACTGTACACCTCTTGTTGGTAACTGACAACAGCTCCCCCTGTATCTTCTCAAACTAAGCTTTTTAAGTGTACACGTTAAATGATGTTTGCTAGGTGATGAGCATTAGATATAAAGTGAAAAACCCCACGGCCTCAAGCACCATGACTCACCCATCGCAGCTCACTGGTTTGGAGCTCACATCATTCCTCTACTATCTATATTCTGCCAAGGGCCGCTACAATGTCTGGCCATCTTGACCCCAAAGCCCTACTGGATCCTCGCCAGCGCTCCATCAGCGAAGTAGGCACCATATCATCCGCTGGCGACACCACTGTTGTTCCTAGCATCAACACCGCTGAAATTCCCCAATATCTCGATGCTGGCAACGAGAAGCGTTTTCCCCACGATCCCAACAATCCTTTCAATCACAGCCCTGAGGTCTTGAACCAATTACTCGACCCCAAATCCCTCGATGTCCTCAAGGGGCTCGGCGGGCTGCCGGGCTTGGCGCGCAGTCTCAATGTCGATCTGAAAGCTGGTCTTAGCGTTGATGAGCTGAATAACCAGAACTGTTCCCGTATCAAAGTCTTTGGTCGCAATCAACTTCCAGCCAAGAAACCAAAGTCTATTTGGCGATTGGCATGGATCACCTTCCAGGAAGCAGTGCTGATCATGTTGACTGTTGCTGGTACAATTTCTCTTGCGCTTGGCTTATATGAGACTTTTGGGGTAAAGCATCAACCGGGCGATCCTACGCCCGTTGATTGGGTCGAAGGTGTCGCGATTCTCGGCGCTGTTCTCATCGTTGTGGTTGTTGCTTCACATAACGATTGGCAGAAAGAAAAGGCGTTTGTGAAGCTCAACACCAAGAAGGACGATCGCGAGGTCAAGGTTGTCCGATCGGGAAAATCAATGCTTGTCAATGTCGCTGATGTCGTTGTTGGCGATGTCATGAACCTTGAGCCTGGTGATTTGATCCCCGCTGATGGTATCTTCATCGATGGCCACAACGTCAAGTGCGACGAGTCGACTGTCACTGGCGAGTCTGATGCATTGAAGAAGACTCCTGGAGCGAAGTGTTTTGTCGACGATCCTATGCGCACTAAGGAACCTGATCCTTTCATTATCTCTGGATCTCGTGTCCTTGAAGGTATGGGTACTTTTGTTGTTACCTCCGTCGGCGTCAACAGCAGTTTTGGCAAGATCATGATGTCGGTACGAACGGACATTGAGTCTACACCTCTCCAGAAGAAGCTCGAAGGTCTTGCCGTCGCTATTGCTAAGCTTGGTGGTGGTGCTTCACTCCTCATGTTCTTCATTCTGCTCTTCCGCTTCTGTGCCTCTCTTCCTGGTGACGATAGACCCGCTGAGGAGAAAGCTTCTACTTTTGTTGATCTCCTCGTCGTGGCTATTGCCATCATTGCTGTCGCTGTACCCGAGGGTTTGCCTCTTGCTGTCACTCTTGCGCTTGCCTTTGCGACAACTCGTCTCTTGAAGGAGAACAACCTTGTTCGCGTCCTCAGAGCGTGTGAGACTATGGGCAACGCAACTTGCATTTGCTCCGACAAGACAGGAACTTTGGTACGCAACACTCTCCCAACACAAAACATCCTCTAACATCTTAGACCACGAATAAAATGACAGTCACCGCCGGCCGCTTCGGTTCCTCGACCTTCACCTCCGACATCCCCAGCTGGGCAACGACCCTCTCCCCCTCAACCCGCAAACTCATCACCCAATCCGTCGCCATAAACTCCACCGCCTTCGAGGGCACCAACGAAGGCGACGCCCCCTTCATCGGCTCCAAGACCGAAACCGCACTGCTCCAACTCGCCAAAGACCATCTCGGCATGCAATCCCTCTCCGAAGCACGAGCGAACGAACAAATAGTCCTCATCGAGCCCTTCAACTCCGTCAAGAAGTACATGCTGGCTGTGATCAAGGTCCAGGCCGGATACAGGGTTCTCATCAAGGGTGCTTCGGAGATCATGGTTAGCTTCTGCTCTACTGAGGTTAATCCGGCGACTGGTGCTGTTGAGGCTTTGGATCGCAAGGCGGCTGATGATGCGATCATGGCTTTTGCGAGGAAGTCGTTGCGTACTATTGGGTTGGTGTACAAGGACTTTGAGGAGATGCCTGATCTTGAGAACTTGGGTGACTTGACGCTTCTTGGTATCGTTGGTATTCAAGATCCTGTTCGGGAGGGTGTGCCTCAAGCTGTGCAGAATGCCAGACGCGCTGGCGTTGTTACTCGCATGGTCACAGGCGATAACCTTGTCACAGCACGAGCTATCGCCACAGAATGCGGTATCTTCACCGACGGCATCGTCATGGAGGGTCCAGAGTTCCGCAAGCTGTCCGAGGAAGAGCTTGACAAGGTTATCCCTCGTCTTCAGGTCCTGGCCCGTTCTTCACCTGACGACAAGCGGGTTCTTGTCACGCGTCTCAAGGTCTTGGGCGAAACAGTTGCTGTGACTGGTGATGGTACTAATGATGCGCCCGCTCTCAAGGCAGCGGATATCGGATTTTCTATGGGTATTTCTGGGACAGAGGTTGCGAAGGAGGCGTCTGAGATTATCCTTATGGATGATAACTTTGCTTCCATCATTACTGCGCTGAAATGGGGACGGGCTGTCAACGATGCGGTGCAGAAGTTCTTACAGGTATGTTCTCAGCCATTGTTTTGGACAATTGGATGGGTTGCTGACTTGCCAAGTTCCAAATCACCGTCAACATCACCGCCGTTCTGCTTTCTTTTGTTACATCCATGTATGACGACAAGATGGAGCCTATTCTCAAGGCGGTCCAGCTTCTCTGGGTAAGTGACTCGTCTCTAGATGTCTTTGTGATACTGACCTCTGTAGATCAACCTTATCATGGACACCATGGCTGCCCTCGCTTTGGCCACCGATCCTCCCACCGACTCCATCCTCGACCGACCTCCTCAGCCCAAGTCCGCCCCTCTCATCACCATGAATGTAAGTCAAATCTCCCCTCCTATCCACCTCCACCACTAACAACCCCAGATGTGGAAGATGATCATCGGCCAGTCCATCTTCCAAGTCGTCGTCGTCCTAGTTCTCTACTTCGCAGGCGACTCCATCCTCGGCTACAACACCTCCATCGCCGCCGAAAAGCTGCAGCTCGACACCATCATCTTCAACATGTTCGTCTGGATGCAGATCTTCAACGAACTCAACTGTCGCCGTCTTGACAACAAGTTCAACGTCTTTGTCGGCATCCACCGCAACCTGTTCTTCATCCTTATCAACGCGATCATGATCGGTCTCCAGATCGGCATTATCTTCATCGGAGGCCGTGTCTTTGACATTGACACTGATGGTCTTAATGGTGTGCAGTGGGCGATTTCTATCCTCATTGCGGCCTTTAGTCTGCCGTGGGGTGTGCTGGTTAGGATCTTCCCTGATGAGTGGTTTGCAAAGGTTGTGTATTTCTTTGCGCCGCCTTTTGTGTGGGCTTATAACCTGATGGCGAGGGGTTGGGGGAGGTTTATGAGGTTGTTTAGGAAGAGTAAGAAGGCGGATGATGAGGAGGATGGAAGTTCTTTGGAGGAGAGGGAAAGTAAGGAGAAGTCTCATGGGGTTGGACCCATGATCGTTGAGCCCAGGAACTAAGTCATCAGATAGTTGGCAAGATTGGATGGAAAAGGTTGTTTGAATTTGGATATCTGGGAGGAACAAAAGCAAGGATGGGACTGGTGTAGCATGTTGAATATTTATGGCAATCGCCTGGCGTTGAATAGAGGAACAAATAGCGATAGCACTTTCATTGAATGACTTTCAAACTTCAATTGCATCATGACTTCCCTAATCTTGATTGGCCAATGGGTCATAAACACTGCGTACGGAGAATAGCCTAATAAACACCCAGATAACCAACAAACATAAACCGGGTCTAGATCACACGATAAACACCTCAAAAAACAAGCTTAAACACGTTAAACTCACGGAATCCTCGGACTATCAAAAAAGTTCCTCAACCCCGCATCATCATGATGCGACGCTACGCGGTGATCAAGCCCCAACACGGAAGGTCAACCAGAGCCAAGCAAATCCTCGTCGTATGACGCAAGCATCTTATCGTGATCCTCACAGAAACTTTGTGCTCTCGTGAACTTGACATTCCTCTTTCAGAGATGCGGTGTAAGCGCTAGCTTATCGTGACTGGGTGTAAGTGTGAAATTCCCCGCACGAGATGTGCCAAGGATGCTTTGAGGGGTAGTATAAATATGAATGTAGGTTCTGCTACCGTAGAGGAATTTGTCACGACTTTTGGGATACTGTGAAGATGGCGAAGAATTTGGCTACTTGTCTTGTTGCTGCGGCGTGTGTATACGCTTGTCTCCCCGACAAAGACGAACTCTCCGCTCTTCGAGCCCGTCGCTCATCACGAACTTCTCAAAGCCGTCATCTCAAGCGCGATGTCGTAGAATTCCCTCCGGTCCTCACCGAAGTCGAAACTCTTCTCGTCAATTCCTTTGACAACAACTCTATCTCAGACTGGTCCCTCTACTACACCTCTGGTTATCGTCTCGCAGGGCATAACAGGTCTCAAGCAGAGTGGACGCAGAAGAAGTGGATCGACGCAGGCTGGGAATCGTGGATCGATGAGTATTGGATCACTTATACGGAACCGATTGAGAGTACGCTTAGTTTGAGGAGACCTGATGGGAGTGTGCATGAGGTTCAGAGGCTGGAGGATAAGTTGGATGTTGATGAGCAGACGAGGAATCCTAATGAGCAGGTTGCGTATCATGCGCTTTCTGGGAGTGGGAGGGTCAATGCTGAATATGTTTACGTTGGGTAAGAATATGACCCTGAGGTATTGTTGAAATGGCTAATTGAGCGATAGGCGTGGTTCGAGGGAGGATTATCAGAAGCTCAAGGATCTTGGTGTTGAGCTGAAGGGAAAGATTGCTCTGGCTCAGTATGGCGGTGCGAACCGTGGAGTCAAGATCAAGAACGCTGAGGTGAGTTCCTGTCTCTCGATCATGAAGAACTGGAGACTAATTTACAACAGGCCCACGGTATGATTGGAACCATTCTATACACAGACCCTCTCGAGGACGGTGAGATCACTGAAGCGAATGGTTACCTGCCCTACCCAGGTCAGTTTCATACATACGCTTCCATTATCAGCATGCTAACGCATCTCAGACGGACCTGCTCGCCATCCCTCCTCCATCCAAAGAGGCAGCACCCGTTGGGGCTCCCTCTCCTTCGGCGACCCCTCAACAATCGGCTACGCCTCCCACAAAGACTCTCCCCGCGCCGACATAACCCCCTACGGTCCCTCCATCCCCTCCATCCCCATATCTCCCTGCGACGGTCTTCAACTTCTTCACGCCCTCGACAACCATGGCCTCTCTGCCGAAACTGTCAATCGCACTAACTATAAGGGCGCTTTTTCAAATGTTACGTATCATAGTGGTCCTGCACAGGGAGCCACGCTGAATCTTGTGAATATCATGGACACGAGACTTGAACCAGCGTGGGATGTTATCGCTTCGATTAATGGTACAAATGAGGATGAGTATGTCATTATTGGGAATCATAGGGATGGGTGGACGGCTGGCGGTGCGGCGGATGCTGTGTCGGGTGGTGCTTTGCTTATTGAGATGGCCAAGGCTTTTGGGAAGCTCGTCGAGAACGGATGGAAGCCTCGTCGTACAATGTAAGTTCATCCCAACCCAACCCAAACTCAAGACTAACGAGTGCAGAATTCTAGCTTCGTGGGACGCTGAAGAGTTTGGTCTCATGGGCAGCACCGAATGGGTCGAGGACCGTCTTCCGGAACTTATTGAAAAGACAGTTGCGTATATCAACCTCGACACTGCTGTTTCTGGTCCGCGAGCAGAGATTGTTGGATCTGGTGAGATCCAGACTATTGCTATTGAGACGATGAAGAAGATCATCTTCCCTGAGGGGTATGGCGCTGGACCGACGCTGTATGATGCTTGGTTTAATGCTACTGAGGGTGTTTTGCCTGCTATGGGTAGTGGAAGTGACTATGCTGCTTTTTACCATAACGGAATCACTTCTGTAAGTGAAAAATGAGATCTGGCTGGGGATGTGACTGACTGTTTGCAGCTTGATATTGCTGGAGGTCCTGGTCCTAAAGATGCTGTTTACGCATACCACACGTAAGTAATTCGGCTAGGCCTACCATAACCCAACTGACATGTCTCAGTCTCTACGACACACACCGCTGGATGAGTGAATACGCAGACCCAGGCTTCCATCTCCATACCGCAATGGGTCAATTCGTCAGTCTCCTAACATACCACATCGCCGACGATCCTCTCATCCCCTTCGACCTCACCCACGCCGGCACCGCCCTCCGGGACATCTTTGAAGATCTCGAAGAAAAGCTCACCGACCGCTTCCCCTCGTACGACCTTGACCTCACGCCCCTCTCCTCGGCAGTATCATCCTTTGAAGAGGCAGGAAAGCGCATTTCTACGCTAGCCAAGCAAGCGCTCGCTTTGAATGATACTATTCTGTTGGGTGCTGTTAATTCGGCGTACAAGGCGTTTAGTAGAGGTTTCGCGAGCGAGGGATTGCTGCCTGGTAGGTTCTCGTTCTACAATGTTGTTAGTGCACCGGGTTTGGATAGTGGATATGGCGCGGATGTTTTTCCGGCGGTGCAGGATAGTTTGGATCAAGGGAATTTGACGCAGGCTGAGGAGTGGGTTGAGAGGAGTGCGAAGGCTGTTTTGAGAGCTGCTGAGATTCTAAAGATTGGAGAGTGAGTTGCGGGTTGAGTTCTTCTGATATACGAGGAGGGGCTAGCTCATGCTCTCACGTTAAACGAGCGTCACATTTGAAAGCATATTTATTTAGTAAATTGCTTGCATTATGCTGTGCGTCGTTACAGTTACTCACAGATTTAAGCGATAATGCCACATCATCTGCATTCGATAAGCGACAGCACGTCAGACTCAACCTGGGGGATGGTGAAATGAACACGATGGCGTCAGCCAGCCCCCGACGTTGACCCGTGAGCGAACCGCTGGAAACCAGGACGATAGGGCTGATCAGTTCATTTTCTGGTGCCTGGAAAAACAAGCAACACAGCCCATGCAACAACGGCCATCACGAGCGAATCATAACCGACCGTCATCAAGGATCATCTCGCGTCTTACCCCATTCATACCAGCGCAGTGGACCAGAATAAAACGGCCTTGCCAATTAGATCAACGGTCTAGGACTTTTGGGCTGCAGGCTGCAGGCTGCAGGCTTCAGGCGAGGCAACCTGTGCGAGAGGGAGGAGTGACATGAGGTGAAACGGATGTCCGACTCTCTCTCTCCCTTGTTTCTGTTTCCATTAATATAACACTGCCTGCTTATGCCCTTCTGTTTCTTCTCACTCAATCATACATACTTAATTATTGTCAAACCTGCCGGGTTAATTCACTCCTTCAATCGTCTGTCGTCCTCAACGCTCCTTTTGACCTTGCTTGTTTCATCTGTATTACAACCTTTCGCATAAAAATCCCTTTAATCTCACCCTGTAAGTTTAAGTTCCGAAACATCTTCAATGGCGTCAATCTTCATGCACACAACCTAACGCCTCCAGAATATTCTCCATTTCTTTTTTTCTTAAAAGGCGCATCGCAAAAAATGGGAGATAACAACCACATCGGCGAAGCTGGTCTTCACCATCTTCCTCTACGCATGCGAGACGCACCGCTTTCCAAATTCCCCTCTTTGAACCAACGAAATGGCAAAAAAGTCCCTGAGAGCTTACACTTCACCCCCGGGGCCTTTCGTCTCAGATCGCCGACGGAGTCGTCGATGAGTAGTATTTCTTCGGCGAATGTGCCTGATTCTGCGACGACGCATTCGCTTTCTACGCTGGCGAGTCCGATAAGTACCACGTATGCGAGCTCGATCCAGGAGCAGTTTGCTGCTGCGACGCTGGAGGGGTCGAGGCCTGCGAGTCGGATCTGCCATCGACATAATCCCTCGAGTGGAACGTGCTCGACGTTTGTTAATGAGGATGAGGATGCGATTATCACGGGATATCCTGAGTTCGATATCAAGATTAGGAATTTGAATGAGGCGCATGGGAGACCTGTTGTGCAAGACGTTAGGCTTGAGAGGTGAGTGTTCCGACGGTTCCGTGCGATCGTGTCGCTTACGGTCGCAGCCCCAGTACAGAGTCGTTTATCAAAGAGGAGAGGGTTCTTACGCCAACGACAGAGTCGCATCGCACGGATGATGTCTCTAATGATGATGAAGATGACTCTGAAGAAGTGTCGCAAGAGGATGCAAACTCAGTGCTCAATTACGCGCTTCAGGTCATATACGGCGTCGACCTCAACGACGTTTCAATTCCTCAAGATAAGGTCCAAAGTCTCGTATCCAATTTCACGCAAGACATAAGTCAGCATATTTGGCAATCTGCTTCAGATGGTCAATTGTCGCACACAATGTCAACGTCGAGCTCTTCCTCTACACCCTCCCAAGACGCTAATGGCGATCGTCGGGGCGGAAAGAGGAAAAAGCAAGGGAGACGTGAAGACGATGGCGATGAGTTTAGCGATGGCGAGGGCTCTGGCTATTTACCAACAAAACGCTCACGACCGAATCCTAAGGAGGATGAGAATCTTCGATTGAGTTGTCCGTTCCGAAAGAGGAATCCTCATCGGTTCAATGTGAGGGATCATCATAGCTGCGCGATGACTTATTTCCCAAAATTCGCCGAGCTCAGGTCAGTAAGGATAATTTCACGTTCGGCTGTTACTAATGCTGTTAAGGCAACACATCGTGAAACAGCACAAACGCGATGATCCATCGGCTTTTGTCTGCGATCGCTGTAGTCGTGACTTTCCTACACGCAAAGAACTCCGTGATCATCAGCGTTTGCCGAAGGAGTATATGTGCGACATTGCTGATGCCGATGCTGAGAGTGGTATCGATCCTCAGACTGCCACAAAGCTGTTAAGCAGAAAACGAGCCAGTGGCACATCACCTGAAGTTCAGTGGAAAGAGATCTGGAACATTGTGTTCCCCGATGACGACGATAGTGATGTCCGACCATATGGTGAGTATCCGTTAGTCATTGTCTGCTAGAACTCAACTGACTTCGGCAGAATACACTCCCGTGATCGAGCACTTCGAAGTCGAAGCCAAGTACCGCGAAGCATTCGACCAGCTCAAATACTCCCTCCTCGACAAGATCTCCAACCCCGCCACCCTCGAAACCCTCTCCACAAAATTCTACCAATGCTTCATCGAGACCCTAGACCAATGCATCGCCAACGCCCAAAGCATGCCCTACACAAACCGCAGCAACAAAAAGAACGACATCCTCCGCTCCCAAACAACACAAAGCGTCCGCAAACCCCGCGGTATAATGCCCCGCCCCGATTCCGGCGTTGTAATGGACGATGGGTCTGAGGAGAGCGGAAGTGTTATGCTTGGGCATAGAGATAGTGTACGAACTGTTAGGACTGCGCTCAGGGGAAGTCAGGTTCCTGAGACGGTTAATGAGATAGTGCCTGCTACGGGGTTTGAGGGGCTTATGATGGGGATGGATGGGGCGGATGTGCAGGCTTGGAATAATGGGGTTATGTATCCGCAGATTATGCCTGAGCAACTTATTCCCACGGGGGGTATGACGCCGCAGACGGATTTTGTGAATTGGGGGCAGATATATCCTGGTTTTGACACGTTGGGGAATGGCGTTAATGGGTTTACGGGGTTTAATGGACAGCAGTAATGAGGTTGGGTTGGGCTGAGCCTGGTGGGTTAAAATTTCTTGTATATGATTTTGTTCAGACAACGAGACTATGATCTTGTTAATCAACATGACTTCCTTCTCACTCAATGGAGCCCATATTCTTTCCGCAGTACTAGCAGTAAATAGATGCGGTGCCTTTAGGCCAGCTTTGCAAGAGGACATCCCGAGATTTGACTGTTTACCTTGTGACCGAGAGCTTAAATCAACAAGGAGAAATTAGGCCCTTACCCGTGCGATGTTCTTGTTCCAATGGACTTTTAGAGTGAGCAACTTGGAGGTGTGAATGTCTAGGCTCTAGTCTTGATGTGGCGAGCTGAACTATTCAGCCGTTCCAAGCTAGGCCAACAGCAGCCACACGGTCAGAGATAAGACACCTCTTTGGAAACTGAATATCTTTAAACAGCTGGATCTGCAACTGCTTCGAATGTGATAACGTTGCATGAATTTCAGCTGCTCAAACTCTAGCACACGCAGCTGACCCATACAATGGTCTAGCCAGCTATAGATTCTGCAGTCTCTCGTTTTTAGAAGTGCCGAGTCGCTAGTCCGGCTGTGGCTTGCGTAGTCGCCGTATATCTGTCCAATGAGGAATGGAACTTTGGTCAATATGTCTCAGTCGACCACTTCACATTCTTTGGGAAAGGCCGCAGAGAAAGCCAAGAAATTATTATAAAGGGCCAAAAGATCGACTGCGATGTCCTCGTCGAACTTGCCTGCTCCTCATAAAATATCTTTCTCCAAAGATTAGCAAATCATGGATCTCCAAAGCCTTTCTGCAGCAGAGCTCGTTCAAAAGTTTGACAATGATCGAACAAACCCCACCCTCGCTGAAGAAATTCACCGTCGAACAATCGACCCCTCTCTGAACGGGGAATTATTCCAAGAAATCAAGAACCTTAAAGACTCTATTGAAGGAGTTCCCAAGCCTCCCGGCGACGAGTTTGTAAGACCTCGACCTGGTCCTAAAACCTCATGGGAGAATTGCATTGGCCAGCAGAAATGCACCCCCAAATTCTTGCGCCATCCCAAAGGTCTATCGGATCTTATCCAAGCTGTCAAGGATGGTAGAGAGCAAAAGCTCAATGTTAGAGCTGTCGGTTCGGGACATTCGTTCTCGAATATTTGCCCTACTGATGGGATTCTTCTTGACCCTCATGGCATGAATAAGTTCTTGAAGCTGAACTCTGAGACTTTGAAAGAACCTTCTAAAGGTTCGGATCATGTTCTGGTGGAGAGTGGAATCACGATCAAAGATTTGAACTCGCAGCTCGATAAGATGAGCAAAGCTCTTGCGACGATGGGCGCGTATGACGGACAGACTCTTGTCGGAGCTATTACAACTGGCACTCATGGCAGTGGAAAAGATTCTGGAAATCTCGCCAGTCTCGTCCGAGCTATCATCCATGTTTCTGAGACTGGAAAGGTTTATCAGATTGAACCCAAGGATGGCATCACAGATCCCGCCAAGTTTGTCCCGGGCGATGCTCAGGAACTTAAGCAGGATGATGATTGGTTTCAGGCAGCTCTCATCTCAATGGGCTGTCTCGGCCTTGTCTACTCTTACATCATCGAAGTGGTGCCCACGTTCTTTCTTAGCGAAGTCCGCTCATTGACGACTTGGCAAGACTACAAGTCCCAACTCGCAGGGGGTCTTGCATCTGCCCCTCTTCAGAATCACTACTTCGAGATTGATCTAAACCCCTATGAGACACTCGGCCGCAACGTCGCCGTCACCACCATCCGGACATGCTCAAACGCTACAAAACGCGAAGGCAGTCGAGGCTTCGACAACTGGCTCGCCGGCCTTCTCGCACAGCACCACTGGGTCGAAGACATCCTCGTCTGGATCCTCAACCGGTGGCCGCTCCACAGCCCAGGCATAATCACCACAGCCATGAAGAGCCTCCCCGTGAAGCACTACATCGACAAGAGCTTCAAAGTCCTCAACATCGGCGCCGTCGACGACGTAAAAGCCTACGCCATGGAACTATCCTTCGACGCCAACAAGGATATCGTCTCCATTGTGGACCGCATCCTCGCGCTGTTCCAGAAAGCAGCGTCTGAGAAGAAGTGGTTCTTGGCGGGGCCGTTTGCGTTGAGGTTTGTTAAAGAGTCTAGTGCGTTTTTGGCACCGCAGCAGGGGAGGACGACGATGATGGTTGAGATGGATATGTTGTTTGGGGTCAAGACTGGGGAGGAGTTGTTGAAGTTTATGAGGGCAGAGTTGTGTGAGGGGGAGGAGGGCGAGGGTGTCAGAGTTCATTGGGGGTTGGATTTGGATACTGTGAAGAAGGGAGACTTGGAAAAGATGTATCCTGAGTCGGAGAGGTGGTTGGCTGTTTATAGGGAGTTGAACTCGACCGGGATTTGGAACAGTCCTTTCACGGAGCGTCTGGGGATTTCTATGCCCATGTAATTAGCACGCTTTCTAAATATGGAATTGTCATTTCTGCTTTTCTAGCTCTGAACAAAAGTCAAAGGCCGTAAAAGATCTTCTCAGCTCGTTTTCCATTCGAAGGACATGGAAGATGTATAAGATACAGAACAATAATACTAGAGGATTATTAGATGAAACATTAATTGAAAGTTCCAGTAAAAAAGAATACGGAAAAGTCTTTATACTTTTAGAATTACACTTTATTTCAAACCTCTTATAATAAGAGAATATTAGTAGACTTATAACCTGTTGGGAAAAGCTGACCCAGGATCTCCACGGGAAGACATCCTTGCAGTAGATCATCCTCGCCATTATCCTGTTCCTTGGGGTCCAATAGAAAGAAGCAATCCCCAATAACTTCATATGAATGCTCTGACCTGTCTCGGTTCCTACCCATCGGCCGCAGCACAAATGGGCTGTTACCACCTGGCAAAGCTCTTATCTGATCTCCTACTACCATTGATCCTGGTCCAAATCCCATTCTATTGTCCTTTGTAATGAATAATACCCTCCCTTCAGTCGTAAGCCTCATCTCCGTGTCGAATAACTTCTTGTCATCCAACTCAACATTGAACTGATCTTCCGTAGATGAGAGGCGTGTCCAAAACTCGCCATGCACCGCTGGATCCATATCACAGAGTTGGGGTAGTAAGCAAGATACAAACCAGTTGTGCAGTAGTCTGATCTCAGGTTGACGAAGTCGGCGAAACTTCCCGGGTGACTCCTCATATATGTCACCAACGAGAGCTCTAACAAAACTCGCAGCAAAGTCAGGCCCTTTCAGATTCTGCGCACATAGTGCCCACTGACTGATTGTAAAAATGCGGGAGGCCGGATCAATCAAGGTGAGAAGCCTCCCAGTACACTGGCCAACAGTAGCAATGAACTTTGAGCTTATATGCAAGGCATTTTTGCTTTCTCCGAATGCTTGTTCTTCGGTTTCACTCCTTAATCTCAGAACCTGTTCTTCAGAGTGCGTTGCTCTTCTTAGGCCATCGACTCTAAGATGTCGCATCCATGTCGCCGAGCCCGTGAAAACAACAGCCTTTGAAAACAGAGCCACATAGTCATGATCAGTGATGCTGATATCCTTGTTGCGGTGTAAGTTTATAAGGCGTTTGCAAGCATCTTTAGCCTGCTGCACAGCTTGAAATACATCAGGCAGAGTCCAGGTGTTCAGAATTGATGAAGCCACACGCATTTGACCAGAAAGTTGAGTTATCAGCCCCGCATTGGGGGGTGTTCCCTGATCATGGTCAAATGTCATAGAAACGCCCAAAATCCCGTTTTCCTCAACGGCGACCGTTGCTTCCAACGTCAGTGACCGCATTGTCTCCTGCATGATTGACCTTGATCGGCAAATCTCAGCAAAAGCCTTTTCTGTGATGTGTTTTGTCATCGTGTAAAATGTTTTGCGCATGTTTTCGATCCACTTCTGAGCAGCGTCCCTAGTTTCGAGAGTCTCGGGATTGGGTTGCCTGCAGTTCCGTGCCACGGTCTCCTCTTTCTCTTGGTCCGATATAAGTAACAAATTTGTTTTATACCGCTTTCTTTCGAGATACTGTACTTTCTTCAGCCAAGAATCAAGGGCTCTTCTACAGTAAATCATCGAGCAGCACTTGAGAATATCCAGTCTGTACCGCTCTACAAAAGATGGTGTCAGTGGTAGGGATAAGTATGCTTCGATAAGTGTCGCAATTGACGTATTAGACCAGAAGTTTGGGTCATCGTTCTTGAATTTCCTGTAGAGTGATTCACACTGATGGATGGCCCGTTCCTTTGGAGGATCGAGACTTTCAATAGGCTGATAGATTTTTGTCAGAACCATCTCGTAGAAGATTAGACCATCAATGATGTCTTTTGGGATCAGTCTCCTTTTCCCGCTTTCTACCTCTTCGTAAAGGCTATGCATGTCCATTGTCACAGTCTCCCAGTACTCAAGTTCGCGGTCAATCAATACGATCCGCCAACGCGGGAAAGGCTTGTACAATCCATCAAGTTGCATGCGCCGACGATCTGGCTCTTCCATTCCAACACTCCAATCGGGGATCCAGGATGGAATACCGCCACTGTTTTTCCTTTTCATGTCGCCGGAAAGGGCTGTCAGTTAGCCGCTGTGCTTGATTAGATCAGTGACGGTGCTCCGATAGACTTCGACTGTGCTCAGTGAATATTCTGGTTTGATTGTTTTGATATCCTTTGCGAGGCCGAGTAGAGCAAATACTTTGTCTCGGTCATCGGTGGCCTTGCGGCTTGAAGAACTCTTGTAAAAGCGACAAAAGGGTAGTCTCTTTTCCGTCAGCCCACTCCGTACGTAGTCGTTCAATCTCGAATATCTGCTTTGAAAGCACTGGCAGGACTTTGGCGTGTTCTCTCTCAATGCCTATGAATAGCTCAGACCCTGTATCTTGTCGACCCCAGCCCAGGTTATCACACGTGTTTGCAGAGCGTGCAAATACTTCCCATGGCACCTTGACATTGCCATATTGAACAGATATTTGAGGCGTAACTGTGGCCTCCTGAATAACCCACACACGTTGCCACCATTGACTGTTGATGAATCGTCGAACAAGTTCAAACAGCTTTAACCGAGATGAAGCCTTTCCATCCGCAATACACTTAATCGTTGCCCTATATCTATCAATGTCTGATAGGGCTCGTATGACGCAGATAGTGCAAAAAGAATGCCACTCTGCCCTTCTGCACATCGTCTCCCAGGAGTTGTGAAACTGAGTTATCAGAGAATCATCCCGGTCATCATTTGAGAATTGTATAGGAGCGAGCAAACACTTTGTTGCATAGTTCTTAGGGATCCTATGGTAAGAGCCATGACCCAAGAACACAATGACGTGTTGTGCAGATGCGTAAATGTCACGCATCATTGCAACTTGGGAACTTCTTTCACCGATATCGCATTGGTTAATACACTATGAAAGTTAATTATTATCTTGCATAGACTAGAAAGAACTTCTCACTAATGCGTCAATCCAAATCAGAACAGAATTTCTCTCGTCCCTCAGATGACGAATAGCACAAGCGAGATTAACGCTAATATTGTGGTCATGTCCATCGATTTGGATAGTTTCCGAAGCCCGAGACGATCCCCAGACGTAGGAAAGCGCTGAATAAGATTGTGACGTATGGCTCTCGAGCTTGGTGTATTTGAAAGCACACGAGATTGGATCATGCCATTTATCATTATAAATAAGAGCTAGACGTATTTCCCGCTTATACAGATCGCGTCGGTACAGGGCAGGGGCTGGCGTAGGAAGCGGAGCGTTTGGGGGCATAGTCGTTAACGAACTGAGCAGTAAGCTCTAGGGTTGGAAAATCACAGAAGCTTTAAACGCAGCGCCTTTGAAAGATAACTAAAGAAATTCCCAATGTATCAGGTTGACCACAATGCATTGCTGCCTGACTTCATGTTGTACGAAAAGCCTGATGATCCTTTTGTAGGGCTCTCATTGGTTATAATAAAATGCCAATGGCAAGTACAGGATCAAATGTTAAATCGGTACTTCAATCAGCAGCTAATCTGCTCTGTTTTACTTGTAGAGCAGTCTAGTATTATCTCTATAGATATACTGACTATCTGATATCTTATTGGTCCTTTTAATTCCGTTGCGGCAAAAAGTACCTAGAAATCGCGGAAATTCACATTTGATACCACCGGTGACTGTTCCTGTCGACTTATTCCGCTTCAGTCATGCATGTGAGCGCCAAGGCAGTTTTCTACTTCGCCTCAGCCATACAGTGCAAGTAGAAACTAAGGCTTAAATATGTTAAATACATTGAGCACATAGCCCTGGGTTAGAATCATAACGTCCTTTTCATATATAATTCTAATCACTTTTTATCTCTTATAGAAAGTATCAGAGCCAGCATCACTATCCCCATCCTCTTCAGAGTCCGTGTCTTCCTTTTCAGACTCAGCAGCTTCTTTCACAACAGCATCCTTCTGCTTCAGAGCACCTTGCACCCACTCCTCAACAGCAGCAAGAGCACCATCAGGATCTTCCTGGTGCGTGAGTAAGAATCCCTGAATAGCTGCAGGACTAAGAGCAAGATTGGGAATCTTATCCCTAAACTCCCTCGTCTGATCCTGCAGAGACTTAACTGGCTTCTTCTCAGATTCATGGTCCACGTCTGGAGCGTCGAACATTTGAGTGAAGAGGGCTTCGGCTGCTTCGGAGGTAGCGAGCTGGAAGTTGATCGTAAAATCGATTCTACCCGGCCGGATCAGAGCTGGATCGATGTTCTCGGTGTGATTTGAAGTCATGACGAGAACGCGTCCTTCTTGAGCTGCTGCACCGTCGATTATGTTCAGCAGACCTGAGAGTGAGAGGCGTTCTGCATTCTTCTTCTTTCGTCCTTGGGATCCCATCGTCGCTGTATCTGCGCTACGTCTCTGAGCTAATCCTGTAGCATCAATGTCCTCAAGCAAGACCATGCAGGTATATGGTAGCTTCTGGAAGAGAGAGGCAAGACTGTCCTCGTTTATTCGTGGGGAGTTCAGGTTGACCATGTAAATATCCAGACCCATGAGACCAGCTGCCGCGAGGGTTAGACTCGTTTTGCCGGTACCGGGAGGCCCTGAGAAGAGATATCCACGACGATATGGGATGCCCCTTGTCGCATACCAGTGCTTGGTCTGACGATCAAGATATCGGCGTAGGTCCTTGACAAGCTTTTCCTTAAGATGTTCATCTAGAGCGATTGTGGACATGGGCCTCGTTGCCTTGGACATACATCGAGTCCATGACATCTCATCTTCACTGTAGAGCTTTGTCGCGCGGAAAATACCAGTCTTTCCCTTCTGCTTCTCAGAAAAGTCGATTCGAGCGTTATACAGCAGTCTCTTCAGGACAGTGGCGTCTCGGCCAAGGCAGGATATAGCCAGTTTCTCAGGCTGCCGCGGTGTAGACGTATAGTTTGTGCCCTCAAGCGATCTGGTAAACGCCAGCATGCGGCCCTCATAGCGAAAGAAATGTGTACCAAACGCGGGTGTCCAGTACAGAGGTTTGGCGTTATTCAACGATGTTGATGACTCAGACCTCATCTCGTTGATCTGCTTGCCGACGGGATCATCTTCCTCATCGTCTTCAGCGTCAGGCTTGTCATCCTGCTCATCTGACCAGTTGAAAGAAGAGTTGTTCAGTGAAGCGGAAGCTTGAAGACGATAATTATCCTGCGAAATATTGTTTCGCGAGACCCAGTTCATAAGATAGTTGTACGTCTCATCCTGTGCGTGAATTTCGACGGTGGAGATAAAACGCGCGGTGATTGATTCCGACCAAGATTCAAGAGCAAACTTGATCAAAAATGCGAAGGCGGCGAAGTAGGGGAGATATGTCATGCCGGGAAATATCATTTCCAAGAGGCCGATAAAGAGGCCTTGGCTCATGATGCTGTCTTGCTGGTCTTCCATCTTGGAGGTGCACTATCGATTATCGTAAGATAATCAGATCGAATAAATTGAACTTATGAGCACAGAAGTGAGCTCTTGGGAGTCCTCTTTATTGTTTTTCAACTATCTAGAGCCTTGCTGCCTGGTTTCGTGAATGACATGCGCCGAGTTGACAGACCTGCCATCTTAAGACAGGTATACGCGGGAGCCAATCACGTAACAGGAAACCGGAGTCGATAGCATTTCAAGATCCGCTATGACCATGTCGCGGGGCTTGGAAAGAGAGAGGCAGCTTTTTAATGGTTTCAAGCCACTCCGTATGAGTCAGAGTTGACAAAACTAGATAGGCACCTATGGTGCATGCGTACTGTAGTATGTTTTGAGGTGACAGCCGTGAGGCTCTAAATTATTCCCGTCCCCGCACCGTGGCCATCTATAGAAACCACCTAATACTTGCACGTGAATGTCATTAGAGGCTATGCAAATTAATTCAGCGCATTGCAATCGATAGATTGAGCCTCATTCGTGAATAATAAAGGCCGATATATATACATAATATCAAACTCTTATCCATTCCGCATCAATCACCAACGCTTTCTTCAATAATTGGAACCGGCCTTGACCTACAGACTATTAGAACAAGCTCATAAACGTCGCAACAGCCACGAGCGTAAGACCAAGTACCCCAACTCTCATCTCAGCAGCAGCATTCCTATCATCCGCCGCCTTCTTCTCCGCGGGTTGCCGTACCTTTGTCAAAGTCACATTGAAAGCAGGACTCTTCACAGCCTCACTAACACCCTCCTCGCCTTCAACAAAAACAAACAGGTCTAATGGCAGGTAATCGTATACCATGCGATCTTGCTGGAACCAAGTCTGGCATGTTCCGTCTTTGAAGAACAGTTCACTATCGTACTCTGCGTCCGTAGAAGAATTCGTACGGTCGAAAACGGCGCGCCATGCTGTTTGACCCTTCTTGTTGAGGTTACTGGGATACATGCGGGCGTCGACGTATGGAGTCTCTGTGGAAGCGTTGGACTCGAGGGCGTTGAAGTTGTAGTTTCCGATGTTGTTCAGAACATCGAAACCGCGGATCTGCCAGCTCTTGATCTTAAGACCAGGACCGCTGTCCATCGCGAATGTAATGGTTGAGTTGGTTTCCTTATCCTCGTAGTCACCTGCAAACGCCTCCTTTGTATCATCACGCCCAACCTTTTCAATAGCAGGTAGGAGGTTTTGGATAACTTGGCTGAGGATTCTGCCCGTGACGTAAGGGTTTGCAGATGCTTCAAGACCGCCTGACATGATGGAGATGACAATGTCGTAATCTGGAATGAGGACAGTTTGAGAGTGGTAGAGACCTAGATCGCCGCTCTTGGTGTAGATGTCGATGAGGCGGCCGTCGGAGGTGATGTTGTCGCTGCGGAGGATTTCCCATGGACCGCCGACTTGGTAGCCCCATGAAGCGGTGTTGGCCTCGGGTTTCATCCACTTGCGGGTTTGAACGGGAGTGAGGAATTTGTTGCTGAGGATACCGTCGGCAAGGAGAAGCATGTCAGATACGGAAGAGAATATGCCACCAGCACTAAAACGGTCAGTCAAAGTTATTACATCGAAGTATTTAACTTACGAGTCTAAAACAGCAAGAGTAGCGTTCCAGGTCGGCTCCTCTTCAGGAATGAAGAGATCATCCGTGGGAGGAGTCTTGTCGACATAAGTATGCTTCATATCAACAACATCAAGAATATCACGCTTAATGACATCCTCAAAGGGCATGTCCTCAGCTGCCTCGATGACAAGACCGAGCAGAGCATGGCCAACGTTGGAATAGATGGGATTGGTGAAGGGTGCATAAACCGGAGGTCGAAGGTTGACCTGCTCCAAAAGATCTTTTCTGGTACAAGGAGTAGTGCCAGGAAGACCAGAGCAGTTAGGGCCTTTACCCTCGGGAACCTCGGGAAGACCATATGGCTGCCATGGAGCTGAACCAACAATTGCAAGATCCTGGGCCACTATTCACGGTTAGTTGGATAAGCAAGGTGTGTAGTGGTGACTTACTATCAACGCCAACACCGGAAAGATGACTAGCGAGTGATCCAACGGTGATATCCTCCCACTTCAACGAAAAGACATCATCATCCCCAGCCGTTTTATTCAACTCAGGCAAATACTTCAACACCGAAGCCTCCAAATCAATCTTGTCACTAATACGCGCCGCCAAAGCAGTGAAAAGCTTGGAACCACTAGCAATTCGAAAGACAGTGTCTTCATCTACCTTGTCAGTGCCCTCGCCGGGATTAGGCGGAGTCCACTGATATGTAAACAAAGGCTCATCTTCATGAAGAGACTTTACACCAATGGAGAGGGCTGAAGTGTTGAATTTAGCGCCTATTTGTGCATCGAGACCTGCTTTGAGAAGTGATGCTGCTTTTTTGACTAGGGTGCTTTGGGAGGGTGATTGAGGTGCTGGGAAGACGGCGCCGAGGGGAGGACAGGCTTTTGCGTCGATGAGAGTGAATGACACAGCAGCCGCAGCTGCGATTTTAGAAAGAGAGGGCATTGTCAAAATAATGAGAAACCAGCGAAGGATGCTTTGTATGTAACCCTCATGGTTGATACGTTGGGGGCTTCACTTATATACATCTCACATTGGCATGAAGATCTTGAGCTTCTCGGATTCCAATGCGTAAATCCTCTCAGCCCTCAAGGCTGAAAAATCTCACTACATTTCGTATGTAGCATCTTGGCTTTAATCTCGGACAGTGAGTGCGAGCCGAATGAGGAAAAAGAAGTGTCTTGGAAGGATTTAGCGTCTGACTGCGCCTACGATCTGAGTCCGAGATATGAGTCCGAGCGGACCAATTGGGGGTGAGGGGAGGTTGCGTTGAAGGAGATTTGGTGGGGTCTGCTGTAAGGCTGAGGCGCTGGGGGTTGATCTGAAGGGAATGGTCATCGTGTATGTTGACAGCCGTTAGTCTTCGTTTCTTCTTTTTTTAAATTACGAGTTTTAACGTTTTATCTCAAGTTTAATTTTATGCGTATTGGCCATTCCAAGTCCGAAAGTGAATGGTTTGACACCCAATTTATCCACAACTCGATAATGCCAACGACATCTGCTATAACAACCACCGTCTTGCTGCCCGCCTCGTTAACCAAGTCAACATCAGAGGAAATATTTATTATCTTCGTCAATAAATAGAACAGAAGAGTTCCATAATGAATCATACAGTATCATCATAGCTACCCGGCTATACCCTTAATCAGCTTCGCCTCATCCTCATAGCTGCTGCGCCCCGATCCATTTAGAATCCTCCCCAGCAATAAGGTCCATACACTGCCGAGGGGCTCTGTAAGCACAGTCGTCAAGATCAAGCAAGGATCATCAACACTGCGGGGGAGAAGGATTCCGCCTAGGCCCCTACAATTACAGCGGGCACCCAAGCCAAATAAAGGCACCACGTTCACCCACGAAGCTCCTTTCATTTCTTGGGCTCGGACTCTTGATCTCGGACTCTTCTCTCAACTGAACATCAGCCCTAAACAGAATTACGTTACTAGTGGAACTTATGTATTCAATTCCGTCGCAATCACCGCCCAAGGCTTCGGGCCGTAAGGGGAGTAAGAAGGTTCGCACTGGCTGCATCACCTGCAAGTTCGTAACTCATTCTCCCACGTGTATCATTCACTAACAACTCACAGAATACGCAAAGTGAAATGCGATGGTAACAAACACTACTCCTCTATCAGATCTTCTTCTAACAACCTACAGAGGGCAAGCCTTATTGTCTACGATGCATCAAAACAGGTCGTCAATGCGACGGCTACCGTCCCTCCCCCAACTCCTCCCCAGAACCTACATCCCTCTCCCCATCACCAGGCTTCACCACCCCCCAAGAAGTACACGCCTTCGACCACTACCGTCTACGCACTGCAAAAGTCCTCTCCGGCCCCATCGATGCTAATTTCTGGGGCGGCGTGGTCCTCAAGATGAGTTCCACCGAACCAGCTGTTCGACACGCCATTCTCGCTATTAGCAGTCTCCACGAGGCCGTTCAGGTCAAGAGTAGGAGTCTCAAGGAGATTGATACACGGTTTGCGTTTAAGGAGTATGGAAATGCTATCACGTCGCTTAGGAATTGGGGACAGAGAAGTGAACCGTCTGTTGTGCCGCTGCTGGTTTGTGTACTGTTTATTTGTGTCGAGTTCTTGATTGATCGCGATACAGCGGCGCAGATGCATATTTGTCAGGGACGGCATATTCTTTCTACGCTTGGCGATGGGAGATCACCGGCTATGGAGATGATTAAGCATTCTCTTGTGCCTGTCTATGCACGACTGAGTCTCTCGAGCTTTCTCTTTGGTAGTCGACCAGCGCCTATTCCTGCGCACCTACGCAGCTGGAGCGACATGCCTGCGGTGTTCGCCACCATCGAAGAAGCTCGGTATGCGCTTTACCTTCTTCTAGATGATGCATTACAGTTCAGCACAAGCGCTCGAGTTCCGATCTACAACCCGAATGCCGAGCCAGAAGAGATCCGAAAGCTTCAGCATGAGCAGCAGCGTCTTCTCTCACAACTAAGTCGCTGGCACGCCGCCTTCACCGTCACAACATCAATGAGTCCTCAATCTCCTTCTCTCGAAAACTCTCTCAGCGTCCTCCGTATTTATCACCAGTCAACGCTCATCTGGGTCTCCACTGCCCTGGACACAGACGAGACAAAGCTCGACCAGTTCATACCCAACTTTGCAAACATCATCACTCTCGCATCAACAATCATCAGCTCTGTACCATCCAACGCGAAACTCGAGCCTTTTAGCTTCGAAACGGAGATTATACCGCCTGTGTACTGGACAGCTATAAAGTGTCGACATCCGCTGCTTCGTCGCGCAGCGCTTAAGCTCTTGACGCGGAACCAGATGCGCAATCGCAGAGAGAATCTCTGGCATGCACGCGAAACAGCTGTCATTGCCGCGCGAAGCATTGAGATTGAGGAGTCAGAGTTCGATTACCCTCTCGATCATGACTTTACAATGGATCCCTTCATTACTCCAAGTCCCAGTGGTTTGAGCGAAGTATCCGCCGAAGCAAACGCTGCGTTCGACCTGTTTACTTGCGATCCCAAGAAGATCAAAGTCGACATTTCGCAACCTCCAAGTTTACCTCCCCCGCCTCCATCATTCACCGATCCAACACCTGAGGAGATCCTCTCTGGTTCACCGTGCAGTTTGGCGTCGAGTCGCTCATCTCCTACTCCTACGCCCGAACCTGTGTCGCCTATATCAGCGGCGCTTGAAGGTATCCAGCACTTGGATTCTGCGGCGCTCAAATCAACTAATCTCGAGTCGCCGTATGATGTTTCGGAGAGCAGGAGGATAAAGAATGCGCTTATTGGACCGGCGGAAGATGGTGGCATTTGGGTTACGTTCTTTAGAGACCCTGAGCCGGGGGAGACGTCGTGGAAGGTTACGAGGGAGTTTTTGAGATGTTGAGGTATTTTATGAGTGTTATGATTGAATTGAATGCTGTTGGAAATGCTATTATGTATTATATACCCATGTGTTGTTTGTTTATGGACTTCGTCGTTTTGTGCACCGAAGGATGAATTTCTTGAAAGCTGGCTGTTGCTTCCCTACAAAGTGCAACATTTCAATATTACAGTGCATCTTGGTTTTGTTCTTCATGCGTAATTCCTAAGTTGCATACTACTAAAATGATTATTCTACACAGGAAGCTTCAACGTTCTTTTTTGGTAATGACATGTCTTCTGTGCCCTCCTCAAACTTCATGCCGGAGTGAAGCAGCTACCCTAAGTGAAAAGCCAATGCAGCAAGTTCGCGTGACAACTCACGAGGCTCGCCCATGAGAGTGCCCATTACACGCTCCATTATTGTTAATTTTTATTGGAATTGATATCTCATTTATAACGGTTCGTTTGTTCTTGCGTCGTGAGACACAGTCCTCAGTGCTCGTAGTCTCTCCATTCAATTTGGATCCAAAATTGCTAGCGAGACCATCACGGAACGACGAATCTTGAGTGAGTGCAATCGAAGTCACAAAGAAAGCAGCATTGTTAATGCAGGTGTCCTTATTTCTGGGTATCATTATGTGCTGTGCGCTTATTCTCAACCTCTAGCAGTCTCTCGTCTCGCAGACTCTGCCACCAATTTTCTCCTCTTATTCCTCTCATCCTGCTCAGCCAATACCCTGGCCGTTAACGATGCCGCAAATTCATTGTTGATACCACTGATCCTGGAATCGTCTGGCTTCTTATCTTTCGCAGCCTTGTCTTCCTTCTCTACATCATCGCCCTTGCGCTTCTTCTTCTTTTCCGACTTGTCCTTCTTCAGGGTATGTGTAAGCCCTTGACTCTTGAGGTTCTCGATTCGCTTCTCCAATCGCTCGATATCCGCCTCGGCGTTTGCAAGAAGTGGAACGATGTTATCTTGCTCGAATTCGGCACCGCACTCCGGACACGCCTTTTCTTGGATCTCCTTCATAGCGACATCGGCAAAGACATGTCCGCAAGGTACCAAGTACACAGACTTGACAGCAGGGCCAAGCTCCTTCATAGAGATGGGGCACACCCACTTGTCGCCGTTCTTGGAAACCTTGAGCTTCGCCACGTCTCGTAGTGACTTGATACCCAGGCTCGCGGGGTTGACGTCAACTGGTTCATCGGAGGGCATAAGACCTTTGATGATCGCTTCATAGTTGTATAGACGGCCGCGCCAGTCGGAGACAAGAGTATCAACATCGAGGAATTCGCCGCTGAGAGCGCAGTGAGCCCAGGCGTGGGACAGTGATTCAAGGGCCGTCGCTTTCAGTTCGGATGTTGTGGGAGCGCGCGCCGCATTCTTGACGAGCTCGCGACGCTTGGGGATGGAGCCGCCGTCGTTACCCATGATTGATGAGTTGAGGGTGTCGCGTAATCGTGGAAAGTGGTGGATGCGGTAGGTGGTATCTGCGCAGTGATTCGGAGTCTGCCGTGACAAGGATTGGCAGCACGAGGAAAAGAGATGGGCGTGGGAGAGGTGTATGGGATGAATGAATTGAGAGTTCTGGAAGACTGAGGCGATTCCTCGAATTGATTTGAGATGGCGCTTATCGATAACGATAAGGACGATGCAAGCTTAAAGTAGCGGGACAGTGTGAACACGGATTGTACGGTGCGATTTGCAACATTGAGTTAGGCGCTTTCCTTCGTACAATCACTAATAATGCTCAGTGACAGATATTAATATGTACTTATGCATTTGAGTCCTTGTTACTCTTTTGAACAGTTTCTATTCTAGATTGTATCTGTAAAGAAGCTGTTTGAATATCACTGTTGAATATTGACACTGTAATGACACATCGTTAGCGCTCCACTGCTGGCCCGCCATTTCCAAACTTGATCCATCTAATGACCTCCGCCCGACCCAAGCTCATCAACCTCCAACTTCAACCTCCCCGGTGCTATGCACCTTTTTTAATACCACCCCGGTCGTTACCCTCGAAGGCGCTCAACCCGAACTGAGCGTCTCCCTCAATATTTGTATTTTTGGAAACGTCTCGGCCATCTCCCCAACAAGCAGCACGTGCACGCCCTGCCTCGCTCGAAGCTTAATTACGATCTCCCCCTCCACCTCGTACGCTCGTCTACGAAAACGCCCGACTGCGATCGAGCGCTCGATATTCAAGTACATGCGACGTTGATCGCTCTCACACCAGTGCCGCGACGGCATCATGGCGCAAGTACAGCAGGTCGCCCTGGACCGGCTGGACAACATCTCCCGCGCTCTAAAATCAAGGTCGGTTTCACCATGTGACGGTTTGGTAGGGCAAAGGGGTCTAATAATCCCACAGAACGAGCGATGATTTGCGAAAACGATCCGCCGTGCAGCTTCGCGAGCTTGTAGCAGTCTGCCATCGAGACCTCAGCCCCGAGCAATTCCAGGCTTTCTACAACGCAGTCAACAACAAGATCACACAACTCATTACGCATGGCAACGACTCGTCCGAGCGACTCGGAGGCATCTATGCCCTCGATGCGCTCATCGATTTCGACGGCGTCGACGTCGGCGTCAAATACACGCGTTTCACACAGAACCTCAAGACCATTCTTCGAGGCAAAGACATCAACCCCATGCAACCAGCAGCGATTGCGCTCGGAAAACTATGCCGACCCGGCGGCGCGATGATATCAGAAGTGGTGGACTCAGAGGTTAATACCGCTCTGGAGTGGCTACAGAACGACCGCATCGAAGAACGAAGATATAGCGCTGTCCTCGTTCTCCGCGAACTGGCCCGTAGTGCCCCGACGCTGATGTACCAATATATACCGACAATCTTCGACTGGATCTGGATAGGACTCCGAGACCCTCGACAGCTTATTCGGGCAACATCAGCAGAAACAGTTAGCGCCTGTTTCCGTATCCTTCGTGAACGAGACCAGGACATGAAGCAACTATGGATGGACAAGATCTATAATGAAGCGAGATCCGGTCTCAAGGTGAACACTGTCGAGTCGATTCACGGCTCGCTGCTGGTCCTGAAGGAACTGCTCGAGCAGGGAGCTATGTACATGCAGGAGCATTACCAAGAAGCATGCGAAATTGTCTTCAAACACAAGGATCACAGAGATCCGACCATTCGAAAGACCGTGGTTCTTTTGATCCCAGACCTTGCCAGCTACTCGCCAGCTGACTTTGCGCACACTTGGCTGCACAAGTTCATGGTATACCTATCGGGTATGTTGAAGAAGGACAAGGAGCGCAATGATGCTTTCCTCGCCATTGGTAACATAGCCAATTCGGTGAAAAGTGCTATTGCTCCGTACCTCGATGGCGTGTTGATCTACGTGCGCGAAGGTCTCAGCCTCCAGTCCCGCAAGAGAGGTTCAGTCGACCCTGTCTTCGACTGCATTAGTCGTCTCGCCGTCGCTGTTGGTCAGACCCTCAGTAAATACATGGAGGCACTCTTGGATCCTATCTTTGCGTGCGATCTCACCCCCAAGCTCACACAGGCTCTCGTCGATATGGCCTTCTACATCCCCCCCGTCAAGCCGACGATCCAGGAGAGACTACTTGATATGCTCAGCGTAGTTCTCTGCGGCGAACCGTTCAAGCCGCTTGGCGCTCCACAACCAAATACCCTCAGCTCAGTCCCGATCATTCCCAAAGACGCAAAAGACCCCCACGCTTACGAACACCGAAGGGCTGAGGTCAAGTTGGCGCTCAACACTCTCGGTAGCTTCGATTTCTCGGGACATGTTCTGAACGAGTTTGTTCGAGACGTCGCGATCAAGTACGTTGAAGACGAGGATCCCGAAATCCGTGAGGCAGCGGCCTTGACATGCTGCCAATTATACGTTCGCGATCCGATTGTCAACCAAACCAGTTACCATGCGCTTCAGGTTGTGGGTGACGTGATTGAGAAACTTCTCACAGTCGGAGTCTCAGACCCTGAACCGAATATCAGGCGGACAGTTCTGGCGGCTCTCGACGAACGATTTGACAGACACTTGGCCAAGGCCGAAAACATTCGTATTCTATTCTTCGCGCTCAACGACGAGGTCTTCTCCATCCGAGAAGTCGCCATCTCTATTATCGGCCGCTTGGCCAGGTACAACCCAGCATATGTCATTCCTTCACTACGAAAGACTCTTATTCAGATGCTCACTGAGCTCGAGTTTTCCGATGTCGCCCGGAACAAGGAGGAGAGCGCAAAGCTGTTGAGCCTCTTGGTTCAAAACGCACAATCCCTCATCAAACCTTATGTCGAGCCCATGATTTCAGTACTTCTCCCCAAAGCCAAGGACAGCAACCCATCTGTTGCTGCTACTATTCTCAAGGCTATCGGTGAGCTTGCGACTGTGGGCGGTGAGGATATGATGCCTTACAAGGACCGACTAATGCCAATTATTCTCGAGGCGCTACAGGATCAGAGCTCTAACGCGAAACGAGGTGCCGCCCTACATGCTCTGGGACAGCTTGCGAGCAATTCTGGATACGTCATTCAACCATACATCGAATACCCACAGCTGCTCGAAATCTTGCAGAGCATCATCCGAACCGAAGGACAACAAGTACCCCTGCGACAGGAGACGATTAAACTGATGGGTATTCTTGGCGCTCTGGATCCTTACAAACACCAGGTAAATCTGGCGAAATGGCGAAAATTGAAGCAGCTATTGACACCAGATCAGGCCGAGGAACGAACACCGGATTCTCGACGTGGCGAGGCCAACCAACTAACAGACATTTCTCTCATGATGACCGGATTGACACCCTCTAACAAAGAGTACTTCCCGACTGTTGTGATTAATGCTCTTCTCCAGATCCTGAAGGACTCTTCGTTGGTCCAACACCACGCCGCCGTCATTGAAGCCATCATGAACATCTTCCGCACCCTTGGCTTGGAGTGTGTTTCGTTCCTTGATAGAATCATACCGGCATTCCTACAGGTCATCCGATCGGCAACCTCGACAAGACTCGAGTCTTACTTCAATCAACTGGCCACCCTAGTTAGCATCGTGCGACAACACATACGAAATTACCTACCGTCAATTGTCGAGATCCTCCAGGAGTACTGGCATACCTCACCGTCACTACAGACTACGATTTTGTCGCTGGTTGAGGCCATTTCGAGGTCGCTTGAGGGCGAATTCAAGATTTACCTGGCTGGGCTGCTACCACTGATGCTCGGTGTTCTCGACAAGGATACTTCCACCAAGCGCACACCATCAGAGAGGGTGATGCACGCCTTCTTGGTCTTTGGCGCAAGCGCTGAGGAGTACATGCATCTCATCATTCCCGTCATCGTCAGGACATTCGAGAAGCAGGGTCAACCTACGTTCATCAGAAAGCAGGCCATCGACACGATCGGCAAGATTTCCCGCCAAGTGAACCTTAACGACTTCGCTGCGAAGATCATCCACCCTCTTACACGCGTCTTGGACATGGGCGAGCCTGTCCTCCGTACCGCTGCTCTAGATACGCTCTGTGCGCTCATCCAACAGCTGGGCAAAGACTATCTACACTTTATGGGTACTGTCAACAAGACCATCAATCAGCACCAGATCCAGCACTCCAACTACGAACTACTTGTGAGCAAACTTCAGAAGGGAGAGGTGTTGCCACAGGACTTGAGCTCCGGAGCTGGCTTTGCTGATGGCGCGGACGAGACTCCATTTGCCGATCAAGGCACCAAGAAGCTGGAGATGAACGCTATTCATCTGAAGGCCGCTTGGGACACCAAGGGCAAATCCACCAAGGAGGATTGGCAAGAGTGGTTGCGGCGCTTCAGTACAACGTTGCTCACCGAATCACCAAACCATGCTCTCAGAGCTTGCGCCAGCCTCGCCAGTGTGTATCTACCTCTGGCTCGAGAGCTCTTTAACTCGGCGTTCGTATCTTGCTGGAGTGAGCTTTATGAACAGTTCCAAGATGAACTGATCCAGAACATTGAGAGCGCTATAAAATCCGAGAACGTGCCACCCGATCTGCTTGGCCTCCTACTCAACCTCGCCGAGTTTATGGAGCATGACGACAAGGCTTTGCCGATCGACATTCGAGTTCTCGGTAGGGAGGCAGCTCGCTGTCACGCGTACGCAAAGGCCTTGCACTACAAGGAACTCGAGTTCCTGCAGGACCAGAGCAGCGGTGCAGTCGAGGCCCTGATCGTTATCAACAATCAGCTCCAACAGTCCGATGCTGCTATCGGTATTCTCCGCAAAGCTCAGCTGTACAAGGAGGGCATCCAGCTGCGGGAGACCTGGTTTGAGAAGCTGGAGCGCTGGGAAGAGGCGCTGGCGTTTTATGAAAAGCGTGAGGAGGAGGTGCCTGAGGACCAGGCGATTCCCGTGGACATTGTCATGGGTAAGATGCGCTGTTTGCATGCTTTGGGAGAGTGGGAGGCTTTG